CCCCCATTATCTCTGCATATTGCTCCCTTCTCCACACATGTACACTCCCTCACTTTCCCCCCTGCATGGCCAGTCCCCACCAACACCACCGCATCACTCCTGCACATGCCCTATTTGTCAAGTACAATACAGGTACAATGGATATCATGCAAACCGTTAGATTAAGAATATACTAAACATTAATAACACATTTACATTACATGCTACACGTGATCAGGTTAAAAAAAATCTTTTTCAGATTACTGTTAGCCTGAGGAGGCAGCAAGCCACACAATCTGTAGGCACGGACGATCACTCCATTGCTTTCTCCACCTCCCACTTCTCTTCCAGTAGAGCTGGGGCAAATAGTGCAGAGATTTTACATGATTTAAAGCTGCATGTGATTAAACACGTTTATCCGATTACATAAAAGAAGTCAAGATTGCTGACGTTGTGATCTGATACAATGTGCTATTTGACCCAAGCTTTTTAACTCTCTACTTTTCTGTTTTTTAATTGAACATTTTATGTTTAACACCCGCCATCATCCAACTTGGGCCTATAAACTTTCAAACTATGAGCCTCCTTCCTGAAATGTAAAAGTAAAAATACCTAAATGTATCCTGGTAGGTGTGCTTAGCATTCTATAATGCTTTTTATGCATGGTTGAGCATCTTTGTCTTCTCTGATAAATATTACTAGATCCAAATTTATTTAGCATAAGTCTCAATTTGCTTTCCAGGCGAATCTAAATCTTAACTAGGACCTTCCATCCAGTCCACCTAATAGCTATCCTTTTAGTGTCGCTGCTTTTAACCCTTGATCTATTCTCTCCTGAAGAGAGACAGCATGGCTTTTCAGGCAGGACTGCTTGCTTTATTTTTTTTCCCTTTACAGACACAGCCAACTAAGTATGGCAGTGATTCCTTTTCTTTTTTTACATTACATTGTTTTGACTTTTATTTTTCTATTTTCGGTCACTTTTTCTCTTTATGTGCTCCAGCTCATAACCTATTGATTTTTCTTTCTCTATCATCTCTTTCCCTTAAGCTTTCCCTTTCAGTTCTTATTATATCTGTTTTCTGGCAGAAGAAATATTTCGCTTCACCTCATATTTCCTACACACGCCTGGATTATGTTCACCTGAAAAATCATTACGCGTCTTAGCACCAGAACAACGCTTCCATGGTGGGCTTTTTTTTTTGTTTTTGTTGTTGTTGTTTTTTTTCCTCTTTTTCCACAGAACGCTGCTCTCTCTCACCTATTAACCCTTCGAGTCTATACCCATTTGTTCACACATTTGACATCAGAAAATGTCAGCGTAGCCTCATTGTCTACTATTTTTCTTAATGCCTCCGATAACAGCCACATTAAAGCAACTCACAAACTCATTTTAATGTCGCCAACAGAGGATGCTTTCTGTGTACAGCTGCACAGCTGCTTGTCCTGTGAGGCATATTGTGCCTGCATTGCATGCTGCATGGGGGTGGAACGCGCAAGAAGGATTTGGGGGGAAAGACGGATTAAAGGAGAGGCATATTTTTGGAATGTGGGGACGGGGGAGATGCATGGTGCGCTGCATGTCTTGGATGTCGCCGGGTTGTTGTCTTTTGTCACCAAACATGCATGAACGTCACTCTGTTAGTTGATGTAAATCGTATTATTCGTGTGTGTTTGTTACTAACCAACAAGACCCGCAAAGGATAAAACCAATAAACAAAAACCACAGTGTTCCTCTTTCTTAGACCAGTCCCTCGGTTGGCTTATTGGTTTATCATCTGGTCTCTGTTGTTTTCACTGTGAACCTCCAAAGCACTAGGGGGAGCTCTGGATAATAGTAACTGCTGCTCAGCCTGTTCCTGGACAGTTATGAAGCAAATAAGAATGTGATTCTGAAAAAAGTCTCCACTAATCAATTTGTGACTTAGATGTTTAAAAATGAACAAGAATTTGGGCATTACTACGACTCTCTTGTCACTTCAGCACTCATAATCACATATGCGCCTAATTTGACACTTAAGTCTGAGCCACTATAGGCTGACAGACAAAGTCAGGGCCTGCTGCAGATGCTATGCACAGCTCCTTCAACTTCCGAACCCACCCCCTCTTCCCTTCTACCCACTCTCCTTCCCTGCTACAAGCTCAGAGCCCTTCCCCCTTTTCACCTGGAGGTTCCACATGCACCCCACCTTCTCCTCAATGTTCTTACTGCCTGACTGGCTTCCTCGCAGAGATTGCTCCGTATGGATCTGCCCGTGGCTGATGACAACACGGTCCACTTCAACTCCACTCTCATGGCCTTGATCCGCACAGCGCTGGACATAAAGATTGCCAAGGGTACGGACAAATTGACTTTCACTTGTCACATTTTCACATGCTTTCTTCTTCCTTCTCTCTTAACCCCAACATCCTCAAAGCAGAATTGTCTTTTCTGTGCTGAACCAGAAACTTCGAACTCTTCTTGATGCTCAATCCTCTATACAGCAACTGATGTGTTGTTATTTCCAAGGCTTTAGATTCTATATGTAGAACTTTTCTAGATTTAGCGTGAGGCTGAAGGTGAGACTGAATGTAGCTCACAAAGTTGATTGCTTGTGTTTCACTTCAGTTGTGAGCTTATATTAATTACATGACTAATAAAAGGAACCTTTTTTTTCTGTTTGTCTGTTTCCATGTTTGTATGTCTTTTCCCCCTTTTCCTTTCAATCTGAATGGCTATAAACAATGTGTGTAATTTTGTGTGTATGGGTAAACTTTCTTAATGTGCATTTTTCTGTGTTTTGTGTTCATTTGTGTTCTCATACTTGGGCATGGATGTCCATACATGTGTGTGTGTATCTGCATGTGTGTGCATGCTTCTGTTTTTTTAATGAATATGTCTAGGTGGTATCGACAAACACCAGATGGATGCAGAGCTAAGGAAAGAGATGATGGCAATCTGGCCCAACCTCTCCCAGAAGCATCTGGATTTGCTGGTGACACCACACAAGTGTAAGTGACCAGAGTTTGGGTAAACCACAGCAGTGCCATTTTCTGCTACCACCTAATGCTCCACCATTGTTCCTCTCCATGCCCCCTGAGGTCTGCTTTTCCAAACCAGTCTTTTTCCAGTGCTGCACCCTCTGAATCAGCTTTCACATCTGTCTCACACATCAGTACTCAGATTGTGTGAAAATGATCATGAAAAAACAGAAGCACAGAAACAAGCTGCATGGTAGACACAAAACAGCTCCACACACCCACGCAATAGTGCAGTATCTTGAAGTGGAGATCAATAAAACTGACTGAGACTGAACTACACAAGGACAACAGCTCTTGACTGAAAAAACCCTTTCTCCATCATCACTGAATATATCTAAAATGTCCAATGGGTGGCAGTGCAATAATACAGTCTCCTGCAATTCCAATCCATTACACTCCTCCCCTAATCCCCAATTATCCAAAACAAGGAGAAAAAAAAACTTCATTAAATAAACTACAACACTGGTTCAAAGATTCAGTCTTTCAGGTGGTATTCGTACTTGTTAAAGGCAGTGCTCTGCTTGTTGTTTCTCTGTAGAAACTGGAGTCTGTTAACTGCTACATACCCTCAGAAGTAACCTGAGCTTACTGGGATGAATTTTGGTTGATTGTTGCAGACCACTTCTTCTGGTTATCCATAAGAAGCTAAAAATTATGGAAATGTGAAATACCCACTTGAATCATGGGGAAGTCATGCTTGCCCATCATATTGCCACAGGGGCTGGCCGCTTCTATCACAGCAGCGGAGCCTCAGCCTGTCATTTCCTGGCATGTGCTGCAGTTCTTTACCACCACCCCTTTCCAGATGGAGCCACCACAACTAGCTTCTTGCAAATGCTTTCATGTGGCAGATGGCCACATGTTCGCGATGTAGGCCATTCAGCGTATTTGCTCTTTGAACTGTAGGAGCTATGACCGTCACTTCCTAGAAGACCCATCTTTGAACCACACACAGCCCAGTTGGATGTCTATAAGAATGTCTCGAGTGCGTCATCGTGTACGTGATTTGGCCATCTGTTCTAAGACCTTCGTGAGTGAGACAAAAAAAGTAATATTCTTCTTCTTCACCCGTATCACTGCTTCCCATCTAAAGAAATGTATCTGCATTTTCATTTCCTGATGACTTTCAATAATACTCTGTCATGGTTAAATACTGTAAGTATGGATACCCAATGCTGCTTTTTCAATGCAGCCAGAGTGGGGATGGCTGGCTCTGTGCCCGGGAATTGCCAAGAGTGCTCTCTAATCATTAATGAGGGTAAACTTCCTCCTGTAATAATATTTATGAAACTTCTTTCCTTCGGAGAATGACAGAGTGTACTTTCTTATGCATTTGGGCGTATTTCCTCTCTGACTCACTCATGACGTAAATTCAGCTGACTTTTCCTCACGTCCCTCCATCAAATGAATAATGACAGTAACAGACCCTGATGATTTATTTCGGGCTAGCTGCAGCGACTTCCTGCTATGATTGTGAACTACTGCTGTGTTGCTTTTTGGCATTTTTAATGCTGCCTCACACTTAAAGGGCTTTCTTTGCATGCTACAATACAGTACATGGAAAAATTCTGCATGCGTTGGCCATAATAGGTCAGCAGCCCAAGAAAAAAAAGGTAGTTGTGAACTTTTGCTAGTTCAGGGTTACAAGACTGAAGCTACCATCTGTGTCCAACAGGTGGCGGTAAAGTATTCATTTGCAATCACAAAATTACAAAATGAATACTGCATTTTTTTCCCTCCTTAAACTCACAAACGCAAGAGTCACCATTCCTTAACATTCACACTTCTACCCATTTCTGTGCGTGAGATCAGAGGGTGTCCTACTATAGATAAACCTTCTACAGATGTCTTTTCACTCCGTGGCAGGCAGCTTTATAGACTTGGGGCAAATCTCTCTTTTTACCATTAGTTATATTGAGGAAAGTATAAATCAGTAGTTGCTCTCATTCTGTGATGCTTTGATGTGCACAGATTGTATCTCTTTTTAAACAATTTTAATCATTTTACTGGAGACCACAGTTTGTTTAATATTACACACTAAACACGAGCCATATATCAGAAGGAGATTGTTCAGTTACAGCATTGTACTTGTGACACATAGAAGTGTTTTTTAGAGTTAACTGAAGTTTTTAATCAGCCTGGCAGTGAAAAGACTATTTTCTCGTATGTTCATGTATGCAAGTGCTTCCTGTGCGCTTGCCTCACACCTCTCTACCATTCCTCATGCTCAAAGACCAAAGAGCCTGATCCTGCAGGGTAACTTGTCATTCTCTCTGCAGCAACCGACCTGACAGTGGGGAAAATCTATGCCGCCATGATGATCATGGAGTACTACCGGCAGAGCAAGATCAAACGTTCCCAGGCTCTTCGTGATGAGCAGGTACTGCCTGTCTCCAGTGAAGTAACACTCTACCTGCATCCGATCCTTTAAAATTAAAGGCAGACTGACGTGCTGAAACCGAGGCCACAGGTCTGTAACTTCATCTATACAAGCCCGGACTGTGACAGCATTCGTTCAGATTAGGGAAGCGTGTCCATTCAATTACCTATAAAGGCAAACGCAATAACTTCACAAAGGTAATGCTCAGAAACAATGCTGCCACCTTCTGGGCAAAGTTTGTTACACTAGCACTGAAATTCTTGAGGAAAAAAAAAACATTTTCCTCATACAGAATGTAGCAGGTTATTTTTTTCACATTAAGCTAAAATGTTGTCACAATCCCAAATGTGCCCATGCCTGAACCTGATGGGAATCTTCACAATGGCTTCTTTAGCTGAGCTTGTGTCTTTCCTATATCAACTGCTTGTAACAATACACTACCTTCTAACTCCCTGTTACCCATGCTTGTCACCTTGGAAAGGTATAGACCTCCCTCACAAGATGATATGTTATCAATGCTGAAATTATGTGATTCCTAACATTATTATTCAGCCGTAATATAAAGGTCTGCTTGCACTTAATATTGTCATTGCACGTGTTATGTATTATGAGATACTTCTCATGATGTTCCCGAAACATCAGCAAGCCACTGCCTTCTTTATTATTTCTGATCCTCATTATTTTCTCCTGCCTTCAGTCCTTTGCAATGTTCCACATCCACACACAGACGCATTTCTCACACAATTGTTTTTATACATACTTTTTATCACACAGTCTGCGGTGTGACTTTACTAGAGCCTCAGATCTCAGCTACCATATTATCTAGAAATGCAAAGAGAGATCTATGCAGTGTTTCATTATAGAAAACGCAGCTAGGCCAGACCGGATCACACAAGTTTTAGATGTGCTTTACTTGTTGGGGTTCACATTGTGTTTATTCCTTGCAAACTAATTGGGATGCTTGCTACAGTATTTTCACATAAGTAAACTGAAAAACAAAAGAAAAATAATAAAATAATTTAACAACTAAATAAAATTTTAGATTTAAGTGGTCATTAGTGGACATTAGGCAGTTGTAACAAATGTAGCAATTCTTATTTGACACGTGCCATCGTGTACTTTACCTGCCTGCTACCGGCTTCTTGCTGTGTTTCTTTGCTACAATGTCCTCTATCATTTTAGAATAGGATCTTTTTTTTTTTTAATTGTCCTGCAAATGTTTTTTTCTTCTCTTTTTACATACCCACCCCCACCCATTAAATTTCAGCCTGTTAATGCATCAGATGACAACCATAATGTGATAGTTTGCTGTATGAAGCTCTGGATGCAGTGGTTGAATCCCGCTTCCTCACTGATCGTCATTTTGCTCTGATCCCAGAATGACATCTGAGTCTGCTCATCTCTCTCCTTCTGCTAGCTGCTGGGCATTTGTTGCTCTTGCATTCATCCCTCTTCCATTCTCCTGTTTGCCCGGTCTCGCTTCAACCGGCAGCCCCCTCTCTCTATCCCCTCTCTTCATGCTCTGCCCTTGTTCCCCCTCCCCATTTCCCTGTCAGTCTGCCTGATAGCTGGCGACGGCCATGTTGTATATCTCACACAGAATCGAACGCCATTACTATTTCAGCGCGTGGAGCCACCTACCCCCTCCCAGGATGGGGGTCCGGGACTTAACAATGCCCTGCCTCCTCCTGAGATGACAGACACCACCAACAGCCTGTGAGTTGGACACTTCTGGATTATTTTCACTTTACAGGAACAGGTTTGCTGAAGAAAGACATACCCTTGACTTGTTAATATGTGTTTGTGTGTGTGTCACAGGCCGGTGGAGGGAGGTGTCCCGGAAAGCCAGTCGTGGGTGACGGCTCGCGCTCAGGAAATGTCTCAGAAGGTTGGCAGCTGGAGCCCTGAGGGACACCCTGTGGATGGCCTGGGAAGCATGACCAACTCTCAGGTAAAAGCTCACACACACACACACACACACACACACGCACACACGCACACACACACACACACACACACACACACACTGGAAATGGCACAATAAGCTGGCCAGAGACCACACAGATAATAGTTTGTGCCGTGTTACTTGATGTAGCTCCCAATTGCAACTGAGGACAATTACGTGGTAAAATCTTCACTGTTCAAGTTTGTAATTCCGTATCCAGGCTCAGCAGTGACCTGCTCATTTGTAACACCTGATTTTTATAGAGGATTAGATCAAATCAGGGCAGCTGATAAGTTTATTTAGTTTTTTCCCAGTATGTTCATTGTTAGGAATACTCTCCCATTCTTATGGTGTCGTAAGTTCAGAGCTCAGACTGCATCACCGTTACTGCACTGTTGCCTGTATCATTTTACTGAAGTTGTTACACTTATTTCCTGCAGTTCCTCTTTTTTGGATTCTTCAGATATCACTAACATTGAACATTTCTTTGATTAGCTCCATCTCTCAAACCTGTCTCTACACACAAGTCTTTTTATTTTATTTTATTTCTTTAAAATCTCACTGAATTGTTCAGTGGCTATATATCTCTGCATCTCATTTGACTCAGACTGGTTCATGTCTCTGTTTTCATGCCGTTAAACATGTCTGCTTGTAGACCTCGTGCGGGGGGAGGGTGGGGGTCTGGCAGGTGCATGCATCTGTCAGCCCTCTTATTGTAGCCACCTGTCCACAATCAGCAGAGCTCTAAAGGAACGACTAAACTCAGCAGCCAGAGAGACAACCTGGTATTCTTTGATTATCAGTTCAGATTTAACTAAAATGCGATTTACTCCAAACAAAATCGAATTTTGCAAATTTGCTACATAAAATTTGCATGTTTCTGATTAAAAAAAAAACCCCAACATACTGGATTTTTGATAACTGCAGTGCAGCTGACCCACCAGTGCAGTTTCAGTTTTACATAACCTCATTTAGTGCCCACAATGTACCAGGACCTGCACCTGGCTAACATTATCATCTGATCAGATTTCTTTTTTTCTTTCTTTTTTTCCCCTCATGCCTCTTTTTGGCTGCACGTGGTTTTTTCCTCCCAGAATCCACTCCTGCCGTGACTCACAACCTCCTCCATCTGGCATTGAGTGCCACTAAACAAAAAGGGAAACAACAAATCACCTTCTGCTCGCATTTGTTGCAACTCAAGTGACAGCAGCATATGCAAACACAAAATTGGATTTTGGTTGGAGTATTTTCTAAAGACCAAAACACACAATTTCCTTTTTTCTGTTTGATTTAAAAATGAAAACAACAATTAAAGACCAAATTATCCAACTGACATGATTTTCCTCTGGGACCTTCAGCTTTCTGCTCTCTTTGGATAACCTTTCCACCTTACCCCCCTCTCCTCCTCCCTATTAGTTTTCATGGCAGCCAATCACACCACCTCCTGCTCTCCTGCTCTGTTTACAGACGGTAGAGATGAGAGAGATGGGGCAGGATGGTTACTCGGATACTGAGCACTTTCCACCAATGGAAGGCCACGGCAGGGCCGCTTCCATGCCCCGCCTCCCAGGCGACAACCAAGTGAGCAGTATTCTCACCTTTCCACTGTCCGTTGTCCTCATTGTGTCCGCTCCTTATCTCCTTTTGTTTGGAACAATGACATTCACAAAGGTCTGACTCGTTGCTTATGGATTTCTTGCTGCAGCCTCTTGAATCCAGAGTGGAGAATGTTTGGGACGAGGTTGCGAACAACAAACTTTTACAATCACTGGTTACATTTTGCGCTGGGTGACGTGGTTGCAACCATGATGTCCACTAGCATATCATGACAGTATTTCAGGGTAAAACATGTAAATGTTTTGCTGACATGTTGACCTCCAGGCTTGGGTTCACAAGGACCACAGCAAGGCAAAGTCAGACCTTTCATTCCTTTCTTTTTCTTTTCTCCCAACTGTTTTGCTTTTCTCTTCCCCTTATCTCTCTTTCACCTGCATGGAGGTGTTTTCGGAAATGCGGTTGCCTTGTTTTCCATCCCACACCCTCATCCATGTTAAACTGTTTCATATCTCGGTGAGTGCTCTGGTTGTCATTCACACACGACACATTTATAAACCACACACAGACATGCGCAGTTCTCTACCCCCACACCCACCCCACATTATTTCTTCTTCTTTTGTCAGGACCGTGATTTATTTATCTTATTTTTTCTCATTTTGCTAAACTGTCTCTTCCTTCCTAGCAGAGGTTTTCCAAGTGCCGAACCGGGCTTCCCCCCCTTTATTAGCAGGACTGGTTCTAGTATAATGTTGAGTGTTACAGATGTGTGCGTGTTTGTGTGTTCTGGAGCTTGTTTTTATATGTGTTTTTCGCTGATTATCATCATTGATGTTGTGACCGTGTTTCTGTTGATTGAGCACTTTCATGGTGATCTTGTCTGTATAACACTCTCGTGGCACCAATCACCCCCAGTATTTGTGGTAAGTGTATCTCTTCCACCCTCGCTGCTGCTTCGGTGTCTAATCGGACCTTCTTTCTCTGTCCCTCCTTTTCTCTTTCTCTCTCTTTCATCTCTCCACTCTGGCACCCCATCCTCTTTTTGGGTTGAACCTCAATCTAACGCTTTTAAACTTGTACTCCTCTTCACCCTTCCTCTTTGATCACTGCATATCACACCATCCCTGTCTCCCTTCCTTCTCTCCCTCTCCCCATCACTTCTCCTCCTTGTTTTGTGTTTGCGCCACATCCATACATTTGGTGTATTTGTGGCATTGTTTGTGTGTGTGTGTGTGTGTGTGTGTGTCTTCTCTGTGCTCATACAGCAGCGGAGGAAAGGGAAGCAACGTGGCAGTAACCTCAGTGTATGTACCCTGTCTTCTCTGTCTTCTCCCTCCTCCCCTTTCTCTTTATTCAAGTCCCCTTCTCAAACATGTCTTTGTGTTGTGTGTTTTTTTCTGTGTGTGTGTTTTTAAGCAGGGGTTTTCTTAAGATGTATTAAAGCAACCATTTTTAGCATGAACTCATATGCAAGTCCAGTTTCCAAACCAATCCTACTGACCCTTAACTACTTCACTCGTGCACTTAATGCAGAAAGTTTGGATTCGGGCTGAACTCTGCTTGTCCCTTCTCATCATTTACGGTCATATGACTGTCTCCGGGTCTTCTGTATCTCTGTCTCTCTTTACTCAGCTGCTGCTCCTGGTGCTTCGTTGTCTCATGTCCTCATGCCTGTGTGCTTATCTTTGTGTTGTTGCTGTTAACAGTCTCCATTATGAGTCTCCATTCACGACTGCCTACCTGCATGCTAGAACTTAGATCTTTTTGTTTGAGTGAGTGTATGCTTGCGTGAATGTATGTGGTGCGTGGTTAGAGTGTCAGAAACAAGGAGGGATATGGACATACGTGCATATGAATGGATATGTTTATAGGATTCTCAGTGCTACTTCTGTGAGGCCAGTTAATCTGCCAACCCATCATCTGTAATTTAATCTGTGACAATTCACAATGACTACAAAACTTGCTCAGCTCAGCTGCAAAAAGGATTTAGCACTGAAGTAACCTGATATGATTTTCATGCCCAGGTCATCAACTTGTGGCACCATAGGCGCTGTCCTGCTGTCCTGTCCTGCCTCAGGTCACGAGGCCTCGGCACTGCAGAGGAATGTCGTTAGCAGACTCAGGACATCCCCTATGTACATGCATGGTTGCAGGGAAGCACGCTGAGACAGAGCAGAAACAGAAGAGTTTTGTGCAGCCTGGAATGCGCCATGTTCGAGGGCATTAATGAGTGGTGAAAATGGAGAAGTGCTGAATTGACCCTTCTGTCCCCTTTTTTTCTTTAACATTACAAGTTACAGAAGCATGGAAGGCATGGTCGCTTGCCATCATCTCTTTCCCTGTGCTTCCTTTTGAATTTTTTTTTAATCTTCTGTATCAGGGGTCGGCATCTGAGCTCTCCACCAGGTTTGAATGTTAATACAACACTGCACTGGCCTTGCTTTAGCCATGCTTAGCTACTGAAATACATGGATGGATTGTTTACAAGCACTAAACTTGGCTAATGGGTTTTTTTGCCGACCCCTGCCTTATAAATTGTATGCAATGTCTCTGTTTTTGAAGTAGCATGATTGGGGGTCTATGATTCGGTATAGGTTAAAGGAAGAAGATCCATTGAGGGCTTTCATAGAAACAGACCCCAGTTAAACCCATATATACACCCCTATACATATCTGTTATCCCATTGTATAAATGAAACACCAACCTGACATTCAAAGGAAACACCTCTCCTTGCATTTCTCTCTCTCCCTCCATCCCTCGGTGGTTTCTTTCTCTTCCTCTCTTAGACCATCAATGACAGCAGTCCAATGAAACGCTCCGCCTCCTCCCTGGGCCACAGCAGGTCTGGGCGTGGTCACAGAGACAAAGGAGGGGCAGACGACTACAACATGGAGCATGCAATCCCAGAAGAGGGGAGAAGTTCCAGACACGGACACCGGCGAAAAGACCGGAGCCATCGGGCATCTGAGAGGTCCCTCTGTCGCTACACTGAGGCTGACACAGGTGGGTGAAACCACAAACACACACACACATTTTTTGCATATTGATCATTTGACAGGTACTGTAGAAGATATTTCCACTATCTAGAACTCATTTTCTCCAACCGTCTCACCTTCTGCAATAAATGAATCCAATTTTTGTACAACTGAACAAAAAGCACATAAAAGTCTTTTTGTTGTTGTTGTTGTTGTTGTTTAGCCATTATTTCCAAGGGCTGCTAGAATGTGTCGCTGGAGTGCAATAATAACGAACCCCTCTAAACACTCTGTCATCAGGCCTGGGCACAGACCTAAGCACAACCACTCAGTCTGGCGACCTCACGTCAAAAGACAAGGATCGAGACAGGGATCGCGGCCGTTCCAAAGACCGTAAGCACCACCACCATCATCACCATCACCACGGCTCTGTGGACAAGGAGCGCTATGTAGCAGAACGAGGGGGCGAGTACGTCCACAGGCACTCTCGCGACCGTGACCGGGAGCGAGAAAGGGACCGGCGCTGGTCGCGATCTCCCAGCGAGGGTCGCGATTGCGTGACACACAGACAGGTGGGCTCCTGGGGTATTGAGTGTACTTGATATCTAGGCTGGAAAAACACACCTGTTGGTTTTTGAGGAGAAAAATAATTAAATAAATATTGGTCAAACACATTTCAAGTGGTCTAATATTGGGCCTCTAATTTGATGGTAGTTAACTGGTGGACTATCAGCTAGAAAAACCCCAATAACCTTTTCTGGCTGTAACCAAACACAGTGCTGTATAGTCTACATAAGGTGTAACTTTTTGATGTAGTTATGTTAGAAATGTTCCTCTGATTGGAAACTGTATAAAAAAGATAGATGTAGCGTGACATCACCTGTTGGTTTGTGGACTACTGAAGGCTTGTTTCAGTTTCTTGAATCACCGTATGGTGGCTTCACAATTACAGGCTAGCCGTACTTTAAAAAATACACAAGATATAAAATATAAACATAATCATATATTAAAATTAAAAATCATTCTGTAATAAATAAGAATTAAATATAACAATTAAGCCATAAACTCATTAGCAAAAAGTATTAAGTAATATGTGTCAAACAGAATCATTTTCTTGTTGAAAGCCAGAAGGGTTGCCCCCTGCTGGCCAATAGAGAGAATGCAAGTTTAATGCACCAGTCTCAGAACCTAGGTCCAACTTTTAATAAGGTCTTCTGCCATTGTTTAATTGTTGGCATTATGTTAATGACAGCAGATAGCATGTGTATCTTTATGTATATTTGTATATACATTTATGTTTCACTATATTCACATAAACATGCATTATTGTTGGTATAATAATGCAGAAATGAGTAAGAAGTGTTTGCTACCAAACCACCAACAACCAAACAAATATGCATAAAGAATGTATATTTGAGTACCTTATTGCTGTTCCCAGTTGCCCTGTCTAAATGTTCTGTCATGCCCTCCCCACTATGTTTCCTTATGACATTCTTTTCCAAGCTTATTGCCCACTATACTTTAGACCTAAATTTTCTTTGCTCATGAATTTTTGGTAATGCATATTATTTAGCTAAACACGCTGATTTTGTAATATATTTTAATAATTACTGCAGGAACAACAGCTTTCTTTAAAGGGGAGGAAGTGGATTTTCTTATTTGAATTTGTGTTATACATACATGCTACACAGCTTGCTCAAAATAATGCAAAACCAGACACATTTTATGTATGTTTAGTTACCATATTTACCCTGTACTGCATTTGTTATCCTGGAAATCAACCCTTTATCCTTCTTTTCTCCTGTCGTCTTTTGTTTTCTTTCCTCTGCGTAACATGTTGCTTTTTTATGTATGGTCCTGTTTGAAATCTCATCTTTTTTATCCACATCATCTGCTCTGCTCCTTTTTAATGCCTTTCATTTCTGCCACTCTTTTATGGATGGTGCTTTTATTCTTATTGTTGCTGTGGATCTTGCTCTGGTCCTTTTCTTGCTTTTCTATCTGGACTCTCTGTCTTGCGTTCTTTTCCTTCTCTCTCTGTTGGCTTCACGCTAAATCTTTACCATCCTCTACTTTATTCTACATGTTTTGTCGTTGAATTTGTGGTTCGTTCTTTTTATTTGCTTTATTTCACTTTTTGTGTAGGGCAGTAGTTCAGTCAGCGGAAGCCCTGTCCCCTCAACCTCGGGGACCAGTACACCGCGGCGGGGCCGTCGGCAGTTGCCTCAGACCCCGGCAACACCCCGGCCCCATGTTACTTACTCCCCTGTAGTCCGTAAGGCTATGCCCACCCCTCCTGGGGTGGCACAAGGCAGACCCTCAGCCCCAGCTCCTGCCCCTCGCCGCTTTTCTCCAGAACCTTCCCAAGGCCAGGGTCCTCCCCCCGCTGGCCTTCAGCTGGGCCACCATGGCACACCACGTCATCAGCCCCCACTGCGCTGGGGAGACACAGGTGGAGGAGGGGGCTCTATAGAAGGGGATGGATGTTTCTACAACCAGGACTACCAGGACTACGAGCCCCATCATGAACCACCTGCCTATGAGCCAAACCCCGTGCAGGGGGGCAACCCGCACCCTCATGCCAACCACCCACTGCCACCTCCCTCACAACCACAGCAGCATAACCCCCATCCCCTACCTCCCCCACAGCCACACCCAGTCAACAACCCCCATCCTCAGCCCAGCCGAACCTCGCCTAGAACTGTTCATCACGCGCCTCCGCCAACAACGGCTCTGACAGGGCCTGTGCAGGGCCAAGTTCAGTCTGCCGCCCAGCGCCGGCTACCCAACGGCTATCGTTCTTCATCACCTTCCACACATGTCCACGGACCCCCACACACTGGTCCCCACAAGGTCCCTCCTCCGGCTGGGCATCCAAGGGGTCCTCGCAAAGGCTTGCATGAACCCTACAGTGAAACGGAGGATGACGATTGGTGCTAGCCTCTGGGGAAGGGGGTGGGACTTAACAAGGAAAAAAAAATTGAAATACCGAAAGAAGATGAGCCAGAGCACTGACTGCCAAGGGAAAAAAATATAAACGTTTCTTTCTTGTCTGTTCGATTTGTTTTTCCCTCTCCTCCACTGCTGTCTAAGTGACGGTGAGCTACATGAAACAACCGGTGTCATGGGATGGAACAAGAATGCAGAGACAGAATCTGGAGATCCAAAAGCGATACGAGGAGGTAACGAAACACCTCCGCGTTCTGCTCGCGTCTTGTCGATCATTTCTTTTGATGCCAAATGAGACCAAACTGGAGGAGCGTCAGACACTAGTCTTTGTGTCTTAAATTATGCCTCTGGCCATGAGCTATAGCCACTTACAAGATGTCAAGAGTTGCGACTCGACAAAAGACACTTTACAGTCAGAGACAAAAATGAGCGACCTCTTTTTTTTGTTGTTCTTGTCGTTTGTTTGTTTTCTTTGCTTCTCTGAGCTAACTTCTGTTAAGTTAGCTGCAAAAAGATTTCAAACCAACCCTCCCAGCCACCAGTTGAATATTGATGAGTTTTATCATCTGTGTTTTTAAATACAAATAAACCTGACACAGAGCCCTCCACCTGTAAGAGGTGAGGGAGGCTAAGTGGGTGGGAGAGTTGGGGAGTGTTGCACGGGGGTCGACGAGTCCCTCCGTGGACATCTGGAGGAGAGGATGGGTGCATCTGGAGAGATTGCACTCCTCCCAGAAACAATTTAACCAACCTCAACCTATGACCTATGAGAGGGGAAAAAATAGTGGAGGATGGGTTTCAGAAACAGAGAAACAAACTGTTTTCTGCAGTATTTCTTCTACTCCTGGAGCTGCTTCTTCTTCCTCCTTCTCTTCTACTTCTTCAAAACATTGAAGCTTGAATCTTCTGTTGCACCCCCACACAGCTTCGTTTTTTGTAGACTTGCAGAGTTGTACACTCTATGGAATCCTGCATGAATGATACAAAAGAATACTAATAATAGCAACACTGAGAATCTACTGTTTGCAGAGGGAAAATGTTCTTCAGTCCTGTTTTTTGTTATGGTCTGCAGGGTTTCTCTCTCTTTTTTTTATTTATGATTAAAAGTGCTTTCTGTTTTTCTCTCTCTCTCCTCTGAATGATATTCCTCTCTCTGTACCTTCACATATGCTAAAAACACCAGTGGCCCGAAAGTTACATGGAGATTGGATATTTACTGTATGTATATCTAGAGGGAACAAAATGATAACTCTTCTGCTTGCTCGTCTACTGTCTATTCCGTGCCAAATGCCTGCCATTGATACAGCTGGAATTGTACTTATTTTTGTGGAAGTTACCTTTTTTTGTAATTAAGGCTAAAAAAAAAATGGTTTAATGGGACGCAGGGTATAAACATGGATATGGTGAATTATGTCTGACAAATCAGTAACATCTCAAAAGTCTTCCAGGGTGTGGGGTTAACACAGAGGCAGCAGAAAGAGACCAATAGAAATGTGCAGAAAGGAGAGAAACTCTTCATCTTTGTTTTCTTTGTTGCTGAACGTATTAAGGGATAAACTTATACCATCGTTTGTAAAGATCATGATGAGCGTGAGAATGAGGCGAGTTCTCCATATTTGGTCTTATATTTTCTTCTGTGTGCTTGTTTTTATTTTGATCTTTGAAGATTTGAAAATAATCCTTTTTCCAACCCTTGGGTGGCGCTGGAACACACCACTACACTGTGGGAGAATGAGTTATCAGGAGGACAGAGCTGTCCTCTTACTCTGAGTCTTCTTCAAAGTTAATAACTATTTGAAATTTGTACATCAAAATGCATTGAATTGCAGGTTTTACAATCCACTCGCCATCGCCTTTGACCTACAGATGGCGCTGTGTGACAAATAGTGTCCCGGTCTATTCACTATACTTATACAGTGAGTGCACCAAAAATGCAGTTTAGCTCATTCTCTCGCTAGTAGACCGCCTTATCTGTGTAAAAATCAGGTGTGTGAGTCGTATTGTAGCAGATGGGCTGGAGAAAGGATGCCTGGGCCTCGCTGTAGTCCTAAAAATCACCTGCGTTCTGTGTGTATCACTCTTGTATAAGTTTCAGTTCTCTCTGTGTGCCTCAAACTAACACTTTTCACTAACGCACACCACCGTCAGACCCAACATTACTGTTATTTTTTACTTTAAGTTCCTTTTTTTTTCTCTCATTCTTTTACTTGACCCACATCTTACCTGGAGGCCTATCACATGTTGACCAGAGAATGCATTGAAAAAAAAAAAAGAAAACACTGCCTATTAGTGTCTTTCCAACCTCAGTGGAATGTCACAAAAAATATTTCTCACATCACTACATGTAAAATTAGAAAGCACACTAAGGTATGTAGCTCCTGGTTGTGGTGTGTGTCAGTGGGTTTTTGCGTGTATGTATGCACACGGGTGGGTGTGTTTCAAATAAAATTATGTTTTGTTTTTCTGAATGCTTTTTTAAAAAATTCTCCAGAACTCTTCTGAAATCTTAAGACATTCAAATCAAATCATTGTAACGACCTTCAGCTCTGTGGTTGTGCGTGTGCGTGCGTGTGTGATGTCAGTAAAGCCCCTCCCACCTGCCCCCTCCACTGAATGGAACGTGCAAAGCCCCAAAATGTTCACCTTCCATCTTTGTGTATATGCTGCAGTAAAATCCACTAACACGCTGATTAACCACACAAAGTCTTCAAAAAGCAATGTAAAGTCGCTACTGGGGGAAAAAAATACATAAATTTAAAAAAAAAATGTTTTTTTTTTCTTTTTGTTCATTTTTCAAGTACAAAAGATTTTAAAAAAGGAAAAAATATCTAGTTCCAGAAATGCATGTGCTATGTGCATGCCACACCGTGGGTTAAAAAGTCATCTTCAGGACATAAAAGAAAAAGCAGATTAATTAATTCAGAGGAATTTAAAAAAAGAAAAAAAGAAAAAAGTAATATATAAATAGATAGATGTTTTTAAAAAAGCAATGTTTCCTTTTTTTCCTTCTATTTTTGAAAACAAAAAATGTTTTAAAAACTTAAAAAAAAATCTAAAGAGTAAAAACACAAAAAAAGAGACTTTGGTGAGAGTCAAAGTCCTGTTTGTTTTTCTTCTGTTACATGGGGTTGAGGCACAGCACAACCATGTTCAGGACACCATGAAAAAAAAAGAACTGTTTTTAATTTAACAGAAAAAATAAAAATATAAAGAAAGAAAAGAAAGTACAGTTCAGACGATGGTGTATTCTTCCTTATACTTTTGTGTTGGGGAGGGTCAAGGGATGGAGGAGCTCGCCAAAACTGTTGATGTACTTGTTAAAAACTGGCTGATGGTCCTTTGATCTCTCACTCACTCTCTATTTTCTCTCTCTCGCTCTCTCTCCCTCTATCTATCTCTCTTTCTCTACCCTGTCTCTCTCACGCTCTTACCTGTCACACTCTCAGCCAGTCTCACCGCTATTTCTACCAGTGCATTTTGTAATTCCAAACAGAAACTCTTCCTAAAGAATAAAATCCAGAGAGAATGCATACTGCTTTGTGTCATTTCTTTTTTGTGCGCCAAGTCTTCTTCAGCTTTGAATTTGCGTGTGTGTGTGTGTGTGTGTGTGTGTGTGTGTGTGTGTGTGTGTGTGTGTGTGTGTGTGTGTGCCCTAGGAAAGTGCATAGGTTTCTCAGTCCATTTCCTCCACCTGTCAGTCAGTCAAGAAAAATAAACGCTTGTAAGCATTACTCACAGAAAGTGAAGGCCACACATGAACTTTAAAACTGTACTCATATTTCTTGGCCACATTACCTTTGCGTAGTATTATCACAAAAAAACAGCTAACAACTGGTTTATTTTTTATTACAAAAAGGATTTGCAGTCAT